GTAAGTGCTGTTATGTCTAGCGTGCGGAGGAGGTCTTCTGTGGGAGGGAGAGAAAGGCACGGACAACGGAATTAAAACGTAAAACGAAAGAATGGGGGGGGGGATGAAGTATTCTGGGTGCGTGCCAGTGACGCAGCGGGACGACGACGTGTGCTCTGGTTGGAACTTACAGCCCTCGGGTGCGGGCGTCGCAGGCGTATTTCCTTTCGCCTGCATATCTTCCTGTTGCGCGTGCTTCGCTTGTCTGTGCTCTGTTTGGGGGTTGCGTCCTGCCATCTGAGAGGGGGGAGGGAGGCGTGGGGAGAACATCTCGTGCCTGGCGGCGTGTGTGGCGCCCCCGCGCTCCCTCTCTTCGCCAGGTCTGCTGCTGCCGTTGTTGCCTATCGCCAGTCCCGCTCTTTTGTGCCAACGCCGCTTCCTTCTGTTTTGCCCGCGCGACGCGCGTCCTGCAGCATTGCCTGTAACAGCTAGGCCAAAGACGAACAACACAAGAGACACGACACCAAAGCACTAACAAGAATTAAAGCAATAAAACTAGGGAGACTCTTTGGAAGAGGTATGACGATCCAGAAGGTTCACGGGCGCGAGGTTCTCGACTCGCGCGGCAACCCCACCGTGGAGGTGGAGGTGACGACGGAGCTGGGCGTGTTCCGCTCAATCGTTCCCTCCGGTGCGTCGACCGGTGTCCACGAGGCGTGTGAGCTGCGGGATAATGACAAGAGGCGCTACTTGGGCAAGGGTTGCCTGCACGCGGTGAAGAATGTGAACGACGTCCTGGCGCCCGCCCTCGTGGGCAAGGACGAGCTGCAGCAGGCGCTGCTGGACCAGCAGATGTGCGACCTTGACGGGACGGCAAACAAGAGCCGGCTCGGCGCAAACGCGATCCTCGGCTGCTCCATGGCGATCAGCAAGGCGGCAGCGGCGCGCAAGGGCGTCCCGCTGTACCGGTACCTTGCAGAGCTGGCCGGCTCGAAGGAGATCCGTCTCCCTGTGCCCTGCTTCAACGTGATTAACGGCGGCAAGCACGCGGGCAACGCGTTGCCCTTCCAGGAGTTCATGATTGCGCCAGTGAAGGCCTCCTCCTTCAGCGAGGCGCTCCGCATGGGCTCGGAGGTGTACCACGCACTGAAGAGCATCATCAAGAAGAAGTACGGCCAGGACGCGGTGAACGTGGGTGACGAGGGTGGCTTTGCTCCCCCGATCACGGACATCAACGAGCCGCTACCGATCCTCATGGAGGCGATTGAGCACGCCGGACACAAGGGCAAGTTCGCCATCTGCATGGACTGCGCTGCCAGCGAGACGTACGACGAGAGCAAGAAGCAGTACAACCTGACCTTCAAGAGCTCCGAGGCCACCTGGGTGACGGCAAAGCAGCTGGGCGAGACGTACGCCAAGTGGGTGGGCGAGTACCCCATTGTGAGCATCGAGGACCCGTACGACCAGGACGACTTTGAGGGCTTTGCCGGACTCACTGAAGTTCTCAAGGGCAAGGCTCAGGTTGTCGGCGACGACTTGACTGTGACGAACGTGGCACGCATCAAGACGGCTATCGAGAAGAAGGCGTGCAACTCGCTGCTGCTCAAGATTAACCAGATTGGCACCATCACGGAGGCCATCGAAGCCTCCAAGCTCTGCATGGCGAACGGCTGGTCGGTGATGGTGTCGCACCGCAGTGGCGAGACGGAGGACACGTACATCGCGGACCTTGTGTGGGCCTCGGCTCTGGTCAGATCAA